CGCCCGTACCCGCCCTCAGCACAGCGGCAGCGGCACGACCCCGACATCGTCCTCGTCGCAGCTGCAAAGCAGCGCACGTCGGCGTCGCACACGCCACACGCCACGGGACGGAATTCCCCGATGATGCCGGCGGACCTGTAGTCCATCGGCCGCAGCGCCTGCCCGTTGAGCGTCAGGCACCCCACGACGAACCTTCGGCCGGCGCCCCCGAGCGCTACGGTGCCGTCCATCACGACAGTCCCGCTGCCGGCGTTCCCGTATAGCGTCAGCGTGCTCTGCACAAGATCCGCACTGCGCGGGTACGACGGCACCGACAGAAGCCTGCCGCTGATGCTGTTGCCGCGCACCGACAGCCACGACCCGAACACAAACGACGCCAACCCCCGCAGCACCAGCAGCGCGCCATCGGTCAGCGCACCGACGTTGTCGTTCACTACGACGGCGAACGCGTTGGCCTCCACACCGCTGCCAAACACCAACCCATGCGCGGCGTACACCTGGCTCCCCGACACGCGCAGCACAGCGCCCCCCGACGCAACCACGCGCGCACTCGCGTACAACGCATATTCGCCGCCGAGCACAGCCGCGTCCAGCGCGACACCGCCACCGACAAGCTCCAGCACCGCGCCGTCCACCACCACCGTCCGCCCACCAGTCATCACCGTCACGAGGGCAATGCCGGACACAATCAGCACGGACCGCACGAGACGCAGGCCAGAAAGCACAAGCACCGGTGCGTACGGCGACGACTGCGAGCCGGAAAGATACACAAGCGGCGTCGGCCTCGCGGAAACAAGCAGGGAGTCCGTCACCGTCAGCACGGACCCCGCGGGAAAAGTGCCGGTCAGAACAAGCGCACCGTTCAGCGCCTCCACATCGCACACGGACAGCTCCACCGGCCCGCCCTCGTTGCTCTCCGCCGTCCTTGCACCGCGCAATGCTCCACTGCCCATCACGTACAGCACAGCTCCGTTCAGCAGCGACACGTTCTGCACAACGATTCGCACGCCGTCTCGCGCCATCCACGGCACGTAGAGCACAGGACTCGCGCCGTCCAGCACAACGTGGCGCAGCGTCACCTCGCTCGCGCCGGCAGGCACAACGAACACCGACTGCACCGTCACGCCCTCGCGGAAAAACACACTCGACGCGGTGCCCACAGAGGGCGGCAGTGCAGGAGCACCCACAGGCACGCACGCCTCGCCGTACCCGCCGCTGCCGCACACGCACACGCACACACCGTTCCTCATGGTCGCCGACGCCGTCCCGGGCGCGTAGCAGTGCGTGTCCCTGTCGCAGCCGTCGCACCCAGCAACGTCGATGCTCCCAGCGTCGCCAAAAACAGCCGCTGCGTACTCCTCCGCCGTCGACAGGACACGTCCACCAGCGTCGTTGCACGCCACCCTCACATGTGCCCCAGCCGAGAGCGACAGGCTCAGCGACAGCATCCGCGGCAGCAGCGCTCGGTTGCGCACAAAGCTCAGCGTGCTCCCAGCAGCGGTCACAGCGCCAGCGGCGTGGAGCATCTCCCTCGAGACGCCGTCGTGCACGTTGCCCTTCGCCAGCAGCATCGACCCGCCGGCCAGACTCACCGTCGAATAAAGCGCCACCGCGTAGTCCCCCGTCGACGAAAATTCGCTCCGCACAAGCGCCACGGCGGAGCCCGACACGCTCACAGCCCCACGCACAGACACCGCGTGCTTGCACAGCAGGAAGTCGCTGTCAACAAACGCCACCACGGAGCCGCCGCTGGCCGCGACACCGCCCTCCACCGACACACACAGCCCCAGCGCCGTCTGCACCGACAGCCCGTCCACGTACAGCGCACCGCGCGACGACAGCGCCACGCCGCCAACCACCAACACGCCAACAGCGTCACGG